TTACTACTTCATACCTTAGACCAAAGCAAATTCCATATAGAATAAAAATAATAAAATTATAAAAGCATAATCTTTCTTATGGTAGTCTGTCAATATCTTGATATTAAATTTTCTTAAAAGATTTTATTTATTTGACAGAGAGAGACACAGTGAGAGAGGGAACACAAACAGGGGGAGTGGGAGAGGGAGAAGCAAGCTTCCTGCCGAGCAGGGAACCTGATGCGGGGCTCGATCCCAGGACCCTGTGATCATGGCCTGAGCCCAAGGCAGACGCTTAACAACTGAGCCACCCAGGCGCCCCTTGATATTAATTTAATAAAGTTATATACAGGTTGGGGCACACTATCCTCATAGTTGAAAATGTGTCTAATTTTTGACTCCTCCAAAACTTATCTACTAATAGCCTATTGTTGACTAGAAGCCTTACTGATAACATAAAGTCAATTAACATGTATTTTATTTGTTATGTGTATTGTATACCATATTCTTACAATAAAGTAAGTTAGAGGAAAAAATATTATTAAGAAATCATAAAACAGAGAAAATACATTTACAATACTGTAGTTATTGAAAAAATTCTTGTGTAAGTGGACCGCATGGTTTAAACCAGTGTTGTTCAAGAGTCAACTGTATTGGGGCGCCTGGGTGGCTCAGTCGTTAAGCGTCTGCCTTCGGCTCAGGTCATGATCCCAGGGTCCTTGGGATCGAGCCCCGCATCGGGCTCCCTGCTCGGCGGGAAGCCTGCTTCTCCCTCTGCCACTCCCCCTGCTTGTGTTCCCTCTCTCACAAATAAATAAATAAAATCTTTAAAAAAAAAAAAAAGAGTCAACTGTATTTATACTGAGGAAGACCAGTTTGAAGAGGCAGAACAGTGCATTATACAGACTACACTAGAAAACTTGTGTAAGAGGACTGTGACAAATTTATGTCATGAAAAGCAGTTAAAAGTAAAAATCTTTGGAAATTATTAACATGGTAAATTTATTATTAAGAGAAAAAAGTAAGTTACAAGATAATGCTTATGATTCAATTTTTATAAAAGCAAATACATTACACTAGCTACATCAGAAGGCTATATTAAAATATCAATAAAGGTCATTTCTGGGTGGCTGGAGTTTGTAATAGAAAAATTAAATACCATTTTAAAACAGCAAAGAAATTAGATTTCTACCACATATCATCTGTGTAAAAACATTCCAGGTGGATTAAAGAGCTAAACATTAAAAAGAGATGAAAACATAGAATATTTAATCTTGGGATAAGAAAGGTTTTGTTTTGTTTGTTTAGTTATAGCAATTAATTTAATCTGTATTGCAAACCTATTAAGTAGATACTCTGATTTTTATCTGTTTGAATATTAAAGAAACAGACGGAAAGAGACAGTTGAGTGACTTGCCCCAGGTCAGGAAGGTCTTCTTATGACACAAAAATGCAAGGGTGCCTGGGGGGCTCAGTTGGTTAAGCATCGGACTTTTGATTTCGGTTCAGGTCATGATCTCCAGGTGGAGAGATCAAGCCCTGAGTTGGGCTCCGTATCAGCGGGAGTCTGCTTGAGATTCTCGCCCTCTCCCTCCGCCATTTTTCTTGATTGTGCCTGCGCTAGTGTGTGTAGTGCATGGCGCAAACACACTCTCTCTCTCACTCACATAAATCAATCTTTTTTTTTTTTTAAAGATTTTATTTATTTATTTGACAGAGAGAGACACAGCGAGAGAGGGAACACAAGCAGGAGGAGTGGGAGAGGGAGAAGCAGGCTTCCCGCAAAGCACGGAGCCCAATGCGGGGCTCGATCCCAGGACCCTGGGATCGTGACCTGAGCCGAAGGCAGACACATAACGACTGAGCCACCCAGGCGCCCCTCAAATAAATAAATCTTTAAGACACAAAATGCAGGGGCGCCTGGGTGGCTCAGTCAGTTAAGTGTCTGCCCTTGGCTCAGGTCATGATCCCAGGGTCCTGGGATTGAGTCTGCTTCTCCCTTTGCCTGCCCCTCCCCCTGCTTGTGCACTCTCCCTCTCTCTGACAAATAAGTAAAATCTTAAAAAAAAAAAAAAAAAAAAAAAGAGCTACTACATAATGTTTACTAGGCATCAGGTGTTAGTTTCTAAATGCTTCAGCTATCAACTCATTCAATCTTCACAACAACCCTATGAGATAAGTACTATTTTTATCCTCATTTACAGATGAGGAAATTGAGGCAGAGGTTAAAGGAGCTGTTCAGGGCCACACAACCAAGAGTACAGGGCTGGGATTCCAACACGGATAGTATAGCTCTACAGTCCAGAATCGCTCTTAACCACTATGCTCCATTACCTGTCCAGGGATCTCAGTGTCCAGGGAAATACAAATTAAAACAAGGTGTCACTTGTCTAAATTGTCAAAAATATAAAAGGCAGACACAGTCAATGTGGAAATGAGCATTGTCAACACTGTTGGTAGGAGAATATAATGGTGCTTTCTTTTGGTAGAAAAAACTCTTAACAGAAACAGATACAATGAAAATTCAGAGAGCAATTTACCCAATAAAAAAGGTGGACAATAGGTAGTTTGTTTTACTAAAACATTGTTTTTTTCCCCGAAGATAGCAGCAAATTTTAGAACTCCTTTCCCTTTCTCTCTTAATCCTCAGATGTCAATAAGGGCTACCAGAGGATGAGCATCCTCTTGCTCCCATGCTAACTTTTTTATATGGCTGCTTCCCTTGAGATTTAATCAGCTCAGGTCAAACCTTCTCCAAAAGTCTGTTTCTTAACACACTAACGTCATCACTGAACTGGTTAATTCACCTGCCCTTCTAGGGGGCTGATGTAGGTTCTTTCTACTCTTTTCCACATTTGTCCCTTAGCCTCTTTTTTAACAGCTTCAAGAGCCCAGACTGAGGTAAGAAGTTAAACTTTCCCTTTCGGCTTTGTCTGAAAGCCATTAAAAAGATTCATTCTTGGGACACCTGGGTGGCTCAGTCGTTAAGCGTCTGCCTCCGGCTCAGGTCATGATCCCAGGGTCCTGGGATCGAGCCCCACATCCGGCTCCCTGCTTGGTGGGAAGCCTGCTTCTCCCTCTCCCGCTCCCCCTGCTTGTGTTCCTGCTCTTGCTATCTGTTTCTGTCAAATAAATAAATAAAATCTTAAAAAAAAAAAAGATTCAGGGCGCCTGGGTGGCTCAGTTGGTTAAGCGACTGCCTTCGGCTCAGGTCATGATTCTGGAGTCCCTGGATCGAGTCCCGCATCGGGCTCCCTGCTCGGCAGGGAGTCTGCTTCTCCCTCTGACCCTCCCCCCTTTCATGTGCTCTCTCTCTCTCATTCTCTCTGTCTCAAATAAATAAATAAAATCTTTAAAAAAAAAAAAAAGATTCATTCTTGTGTTCAGCAGTATGTTAAATCCAATCAGACAAAAACCTTGCTTCGGAAATCTCTCAATTCTCCAGTCTCCTGTTTTACTGTCTACAGCATACATGTTTAGTAACAATGTAAGTTATTAAGGGAAAAATAAATCCAAGTCATAGTTTTTCTAACACTTCAGCCATCCCTATTTACTTACAAGTGCCATTATGAAGAGAAACACCAAAAGGCACACGGAGCTATAAAAGAGGCTGTTACTAAACTTCACTACATAAAAGTACTGAAAGTTTATAAGGAATGGCATTATGCCTAGGTGATAATGCCTTCCGTTTTCCCGAAAGCATAACAGGTCAGCTTCCATTTGAAACTTTTCACTTGTACATCCAAAGCGTCCCGTAACTTTTTTGCATTTTGTGTTCTAAAATTTACTACCAACTTGGTCTCTGACGGTGACAAAGCCATTAAAATTTGCAGGGGTGAAATGCGCATTGTGAAAACACATAGGCAGCTCAGAGAAAAGTGCTTCACTACATCTCCTTTAGGGGAGGAGACCTAAAGTGATGACTACAATTTCACTGAGAGAATAATTTGAGAATGTTCCCTATTGTACGCACAGGATGTAAAAAGAGATTAAGGGTCAGCAGGAAAATCTGAAATTGGAATGTCCAAGATTGCATTTTTTCACCCGCATCCTAGGGTTACAGATCGACACTCCATTAAAACACGAGGCTTCCTCACTACTTTGAGGAGGGAAGGTTGCACAAGCGGCACAACAGGCCCGAGGCAATGATTTCTCTCTCCTGCTAAATCCTACCGTCTCCCCAACGTAATCAAATAATTGCTGGACAGCTCCACCTTGTCTACGCGTTAACCACACAAACGCGAGCGAGCAGATACCTTTGCCAGGAGTCCCAGTGCAACACCAAAACACCTCAAGGCACCTCACGCACGACTTTGGGGTCCTCACTTCGCTGGACAGAAAAGTCAAAAGCTGAGAAAGAAGCAGCCACCATCCAATGCCTCAAAAGGCCAAGACAGAGTTAAGATGAGGTCGATCCCGGGCTTCTCTTCGCCCACCTTCCTCTGCTCCAGCCCTGGAAGGAGCCACAAGTGAGGCAGAGAAGTTGTGGAAACACGGCGGGGGTGGGGTGGGATGGGGGAACCCGGGAGAGTTTAGCACAAGCATTTGCATTTGTCCCACACAAGGTCACTCGCTCCGAGTCACTTTTTCTTGCTCCCCCGGGGGCTTCCCGCCAAACAGGCAGCTGCGCTTCGAGGCCAGCTCACCGCGCCCCCTCGGTCCTTCCCTGCGGGCCGCAGCCCCTTCCCGGCCTCTGGGTGCGGGCCGAGGCTCGGACCCAAGCCTGCCTCCCCGATACCCGTTTCCGACGCCCGGCGCTTCTCCCAGCCCAGTTTCGTTCGGAGCTCCTCCGCCTCCAGCTCCGGGGGCTCCCGACAACGTCCCCGTCCTCCCTCAGGACGCCCCTTGCCCCGCCGCCAGTGCCCGGTCCCGCCGGGGCCCCGGACGCCGTTCCCTCCGGCCCCTCCCGCCGAGCTCCCGTCCGCTGCCCACCTGGCCCGGCCCCCGCCCCCCGGCTCGTTTCCTCGGCGAGCGGCCGCCTCCCAAGTCCTCCCGGCCCCGCCCCGCTCCCGGGCGGATACAGTTTGAAGCCCCTCAGGATCTCCCTGGCCCGCTCGTCCTTGGCTGACATGATGCGGCGGTCGCCGCCTGCGGCTCTCCCACGCTGGCCCGGCGGAGCTTCGCAGACGGTGCCCAGGAACGGAGGACGGAGCCGCAGCCCGGCCTGGAGACCTCGGGCGAGCAGCTGCCGCGGCCAGACCCGGACCGGCCTCTCCCTCCCCTCAGCTCCCGCTCCTGATCCCTTCTCCTTCCCCCTTGTCTCGGAGCGCCCGCCCCAAAGCCAATGGAAAGCCCGCCTCGCCGATTAGCATCCTGAGCAGCCAATAGAAGCACTTAGCGGCTTCGCCGGGGGGACGACGAGCGTCAGTGGGAAGGGCCCTCCCCGGGAAGTCCCGTAGGACAAATTTTTCTTTAGGTCTTGTTGCCTAGAGTTTGCCCCGGCGGAGGGTTGGCTTCAGATCTGCAGAGGCTCGAGGGGCCCGCTCCCTCCGCAGGGCACACTAGGGCTCTGAGGTGACGGCGGGTTGCACTGTGCGATGTGAGAGGGACTACGTTTCCCAGCATTCCAGGGGGAGTGCCCGGGGGAACCACAGATCCCAGCACGCAACAAAGAGGCCCAGGGACTACAAATCCCAGCATTCCCTGCACCCTGTTCTTCTGTAACTTAGACTCCAGTGTGCCGCGCAGTGTGCGCAAATTCATAAACCCTCCTTCAGCTTTGGGGTTTCTGAATTCGGAGACTTGAAACTGTGCGGGAAGACTCCCTTAACTCTCAGAGGAGGATGACAGCCCAGAGAGAGGTAACATCTGTTTACATGGAACTCAGAAATCTCCTGCAAATCATGGTAAGGCTGCAAACAACAAACAAAACACTGATTAAACCATGGAAGATAATATGACAAAATGACTCCTTCAAATCGTGCTTGTTTGTTGGTCTGGGGCGCCTTTTACTTGTTTTGCAGGGCTTTCTGGTGTGCTCCTGCGTTGGACTGGGAAAGATATCGATTGTATTCTCAGGATATCCATACCGGAAGGGATATTAAGAGAATTTGCCAACCCAACTCCTCTTGTTTTACATACGAGGAAACTGAGGCCCAGAGAGGTGAAGAGATTGTCCACCGGTTACAGCAACTTGGGACAGAGTTAGAATTCGACTCTAAGTCTCCTGACCCGCAGTCTGCGTTGTTTACACCACACTAAGGTGGCGATATTTTTAGCAACATGGCTATGTGATTATTATTCTCCTTGGTGAAGTTTCCCCATCTAGGTTGAAACACCCAGAGGTTAGGCAAGCATTCATTTGGTGGATTTCCTGTTAGGGAAGGAGTGTGATGTTTGTTTATCTTCAGTCTAGGAAGGACTTAGGACTTGGTGGTTTGATTTGTTCTGTGTTTGTTGCTTAAGATGACATTTATTGTGATTTTAGGAACTGGGTAAAATTGTGTAAGCTAAGGTTTCCTTGGACATCTCCTATCTCTTTCCCTAGGCCTTCCTTCCTCTCCCCGTCCCCCTTTCACCCATCTAGGCACCCACCCAATATTTCCTTCCATTGTAATTCAACAAAGAGCCTTTTCAGGTTTCCGGTAAAGGGTGAAAGGCATTGTCACAGCCACCAGGAAGATAACCATCTAGTTAGGAAAGAAAGGAGACTGCTGAGATTCAAGATGAGCTGCAATAAATGTCATAAGGGAAAGGTCATCTGAATGCCACAGAGGTTCTGATGGAAAGATTAATTCCAGCTGGCAAAACTGATGGAGGAGGTGGCATTTGAATTTGAAGGATGGGTGGGTTTTTTTTTTTTCTTCTGTTAAAAAAATTTATCTTGAAATTTTTTTGTTAATGAGGTATGATATATGCAGGAAGGGCACTGTTTTTATATATGTATACACCTCTGTCACCACCCCCCAAATCAAGATATAGAACATTTCCAGCATCCCTATGCCGCTTCCCAATTGGCACTGCATCCTCCCACCCCGACAACCACTCTTCTGGCTTCTATTACCATAAATCAGTTTTGTCGTGAATTTCATTTAAATGTAATCATACAGTATGTATAGTAGGAGTCTGGCTTTTTTCTTTAATCAATTATTTTTGTGAGATTCATCCATGATGTATGTAGCAGTAACTTTTTTTTTTTAATTGCTGACTAGTATTCCATTGTATGTATCTAGCAATATTTGTCTATTCTGTTGATGGGTATATAGGTTGTCAGTTATCAGTTTTGGGCTTTTGTTAACAAAGCTGCAATGCGCATTCTTATAGGTTTCTTTTTGCAGACTCTGCACTCATTTCTAGGAGAGGAGTAGGTGGCTTATACAGTATGCATATGATCAGCAACAGTAGTAGATTTTGCCAGTTTTCCAAAGTGTTTGTATCACTTTTGCCTTCACCAGCAATGTAAGAAAATTCTAGTTGACTTTTATCCTTGTCCAAACAGGGTCTTACAAGTCTTTATAACTTAAGTATTTTGGCTAAATGTGGTATCTTTTTTTTTTTTTAAAGATTTTATTTATTTATTTGACAGAGAGACAACGAGAGCAGGAACACAAGCAGGGGGAGTGGGAGCGGGAGAAGCAGGGGGGAGCCCGATGTGGGGCTTGATCCCAGGACCCTGGGATCGTGACCGAGCTGAAGGCAGACGCTTAACGACTGAGCCACCCAGTGGCTAAATTACTTTGGCTAAATGTGGTGTCTTATTTTTTTTTTCTTTTTTTTTTTTTAAATTCTTATGTTAATCCCCATACATTACATCATTAATTTTAGATGAAGTGTTCCATGATTCATTGTTTGTGCATAACACCCAGTGCTCCATGCAGAATGTGCCCTCCTCAATACCCACCACCAGGCTAACCCATCCTCCCACCCCCCTCCCCTCTAGAACCCTGTTTGTTTTTCAGAGTCCATCGTCTCTCATGGTTCGTCTAAATGTGGTGTCTTATTAATCGTTTTTTCTTACATTGTCTCTGGTGTTGAGCACCTTTTCATATGCTTTTTGACTATTTCAGCGTCCTCTTTTCTAAGTGCTTGTTCAAGTCTTTTGCCCACTTTTTAAGTTAGGCTTTTTGTCTTCTTATTCTTTTTTTTTTATTTGACAGAGAGATAGTACAAATAGGCAGAGAGGCAGGCAGAGGGAGAGGGAGAAGCAGACTCCCCGCTGAGCAGGGAGCCCGACGTGGGGCTCGATCCCAGAACCCTGGGATCATGACCTGAGCGGAAGGCAGCCGCTTAACCGACTGAGCCACCCAGGCGCCCCTTTTTGTCTTCTTATTCTTATTGATTTGTAGTTCTTTATAAAGTTTGGATATGGAGTTCTTTGGTACAGTCTTCACAAATATCTTTTCCAAGTCTGTGGCTTGCCTTTTTAGTCTCGCCCTGGTGTCTTTGATAAACAGAAATTCTTATTTTTATTTTTTTTAAAGATTATTTATCTATTTATTTATTTGTGAAACAGAGAGTGAGTGAGCGAGGGAGCACAAGCTGGAGGAAGGACAGAGGAAGAGGGAGAAGCAGGATCCCTGCAGAGCAGAGAGCCCTATGCAGAGCCCGATGCAGAGCCCGATGCGGGGCTCAATGCTTGGCTCGATTCCAGGACCGCTTAATCAACTGAGCCACCCAGGTGCCCCCAAGAAATTCTTAATTTTAATGTAGTACAATAGTTCAGTGTTTTCTTTTATGATTAGTGCTTTTTTGCATTAAGAAATCTTTGCCTACAGGGTTGGTAGGATTTTAACAGGCAAATAGGAGGTAAGAGCATTGCAAAAAAGAAGAGAAAGCAAGCTTGAGCATAGGCCCTGGTGTCAGAGAGGGAAAGTGTAAGTTGTGTTGGGCATGGGAAGGCCTGGAGTTTGGGCTGTAAGAGGGTGGGGCGAAACAAAGCTGGAAAGATTGGAGGGAAGCATCCTGAGAAGGGTTCTCACTGTGGCCTTGGAGTTTGGACATTATTCTGGACAAAGTAGAGGCACTGCCAGAATATTTATGAACTCAAACAGAACTTAGTTGTCTTCCCTCCACTGCCAAATTTGCTTTTTCTCCTCTGCAGCCCCATTCACTTACCACCACCTCCAAGACAGCTCTGGCCTGCGTAACCAGAATCCTAGGTGATACTCTCCTTCCCTATCCCTGCCTTCAACTGGTCACCAAGTCAGGCAGATTCTGTAGTCTAAATGCCTCCAACAATGTCCTTTCTTTTTCATGCCAACTGCTAGTGCCTTTGTTCAGGATCTCACAATCCCTTATCTATACTGTATCAATCACCTCAAGAGTTTCCCTGACTCCAGCTCTCTCCATATCCAATCCATTCCTATAGCAGCTAGTGTGATCATTCTAAAGTGTCAATTAGTCACACTTCTCCACAGGTTAAAAGCCCTAAGTAACTCCCCAATGCCCTTAAGATAAAATAAAAACTCCTTTACATGCTTACACTTTTTGTGATTTGCTTGCTCATTCTTCCACGCTCAACTCAAGCCTCATCTCCAGAACCGTGCCTTAAATCACCTCTCCCCAGAGCACAGGCAGGAGAGCCTTATCTGTAGCACTAGGGTGCCTGTGGCAACTGTCTGTCATAGCCAGAGGTCTGTCTCTCTCAGAGGCTGTGGGCTCTTCCAGGTAGGAACTTCGCTGTATTAAGGTTTTTACCTGGTATACTGCCCTGCATGTGGTTTATAAGACCCCTGATGTCCTGACTCCAGGTCTGTAGCCCTCACTTCTCATCCCTGAACCTTGGGTTCCAGACAGTCTGGGTTTCTTTTTTGCATTAGTATATGGTACACAGAGCAAGCCTCTGTGACTGTGATCTGCTGCCTTTTCCCCCCCTTTTTGCTCAGAAGATGCCTGTTTTCTCTTAACCAACATACATACTCTCTTCTGTGCTTCCAAAGTATTGTCATATCTCTCTCATAGCACTTAAAACATTAAAGCGTTTTTTTCCTCTTTTTTTAAGTAAGCTCCATACCCAATGTGGGGCTTGAGCTCACGACTGGAGATTGAAAGTCTCATGCTCTACCAACTGAACCAGCCAGGCACCCCCACATTGAAACTTTTTGAGGGCAAGAACCTTGTCTTCTCTTTATATAACCTTCTAGAACACAGAAATTAGAACAGAACATTTTTTGAATAAATCAGTGGGTTGGTGCTAGGCTCCTTTGCATTTGTCTGACTTCTGCACCATGATTCACCAAAAGCAAGTAGGGCTCTTTTCCATGTCTTCAAGACCCGAAAGTCTGTGGTGTGTACTTTAAAGGAACCAGCTTAAGTGTTAAGCTGTGTAGCA